CCCACCGAGCCTCGAGACGTGCACGGCCAGCTCAAAGCTGATATAAACAAGGCAACCAAAACTATCAGCACAGACCTTCCAACCGAAAAGATGGACAGTCGTCTCGCCCACCTACTAGAGGCCAAACAGTCTCTATTGGCCCGGTGGAAGGGCCAGCGCCTTAATCGGAGGTTACGCGAACGTATTTATTTATTTATTAGAATACCCTCAGGGCCCGTAGGGCATTACAGAGGGGGTGGGTACAACATATATAACACACAAGAAAAAAAGACAAAATAAAGAAACAAGTATCAGATGCGCAAATCAGGAAGGCAACATAAGTCAACTAAAAATGTATAAGAATTCAAGCACATACAAGACAAAGATAGATAATGGAAACTGCGTATAGTTACAAGCATTGCTGAGAAATTGCAGTCTTGAATAACAAAGGGTCTGTTATTGATACAACGGAAGAGGGAAGGTGGTATATCTCAGCTGAACAAGACCATGATGGATTACTGCCGCATCCTTTCAAAACAGCAGTGGGACGAAATTTGTAATTCGATTGATGGTCAGGTTCGAAATGGCAAAACTTGGAACTTACTCAAACACCTCCTCAATGAAACCAACACCCGCACAAATCAACGTCATTCGATCGTGAAGATACTTCATCAGGCTAAACGGACAGTGTCACCGGAAGATGTTGTCAAGAACCTCGTGGAAAAATATCTCCCGCTTCCCACGGGCTCTGTGACCCTCACCCTGATTACTCTGGCAGCGACAACACCACCTTAGACGCCGACTTCTCTATTGAAGATGTGCGCCGAGCTCTCCATGAGCTCAATGGCCGCTCAGCCCCTGGCCCCGATGGCATCACCAACAAGCTCCTACGCAACCTGGACAATTCCTTCATCACTTACCTCACCGACACTATCAACGAGATATGGAAAAAAAGTGAGATACCCTATGCTTGGAAACTAGCTCACACGGTTCTCATACCCAAACCGGGAAAGGCGCCGAGCCTAGATAACCTACGCCCCATATCTCTCACGTCGTGCGTGGGCAAAATGGCTGAGCACGTCGTCCTCAACAGGGTTGGTCAATACCTAGAAGATAACGACTGCATCCCGCACCACAAGATTGGCTTCCGAGCAGGGTTATCCACTCAAGACGCCATGTTACTCCTAAAGCATCAAATTCTAGATGGCGGAAACACTCGGGACACTCGTGCAATACTCGGTCTCGATTTAGAAAAGGCCTTCGATACAATAACGCACTCGTCAATTTTGAAAGTGATCGCAGCCCCCGGCCTAGGTCATCGATTTTACTACTTTATCCGCTCTTTTCTCACTCGAAGCAGAGCCGTCCTCCGCGTAGGAGACCTAGTGTCGGAAGAAGTGGAGCTTGGACAGCGGGGCACTCCTCAGGGATCCGTCCTCTCGCCCACGCTCTTCAACCTCGTGATGATCGGACTTTCTGAACGACTTTCAAAAATCGACGGGCTAAATCCCACTATCTATGCGGATGATGTAACCATATGGTGCTCCACAGGGTCGGATGGCTTCATTGAGTCCGCCCTGCAAGAGGCTATCGACACCACCGAGTCTTACCTCGACCACACCGGTCTCAGGTGCTCACTTGCGAAGTCGGAGCTGTTGATATATTTGCCCAAACGCCGGGGTGCCATGCCCAAAGGGTGGAAACCTCCGGCGGAACGCAATATCACCCTCCACACCAGAGATGGTCGTACTGTACTCACGGTAGACACTATCAAGGTCCTCGGCATGATCATCGAGTCCCGCGGAACCAACACCCAAACAGTACACAAGCTCAGGACTAAGACGGAAAATGCCATACGACTCGTACGTAGAGTAGCCAACAGGCACCATGGCCTCAAAGAAGACAACCTGCTGCGTCTCGTACACGCGTTTGTTTTGTCCCATTTCGCCTACGTTGCCGCTATACGCAAATGGCTACGTGCTGAGCGCGATCAACTCCATGCGCTTATTCGCAAGGTGGTCAAACGAGCCCTTGTCCTCCCTATCACCAATCCAACGTACAAACTCCTCGAGCTTGGCGTACATAACACGCTAGAAGAGATCGCCGAAGCTCAGGAACGCGTGAAATTGACCCGACTCACTGCCACCAAGGAGGGCCGCCATATTCTGCGCGAGCTCGGCTTCTTCTCCTAGAGGGCCAGGGACCCCCAAGAGTTGACTCTAATTCCCCGGGAAATCCGCGACCTTATCACGATCACTCCCATACCACGAAATGTACACCCCGAATACAACAGAGGCAGGCCCCTTGCGCGGGCGACCACCATTCTCAAGCCATAGACATGGAAGCGGACAACGTCTCGTTCGTGGACGCCGCTGCCTATCGCAACAACCAAGCCTTCGCCGCGGTCGCAGGTATCATCCGCGCAGCAGACTCTGCTGCGCAGGAACTGAGCCACAATCCTCACCCGAAACCCCGAAGTAGCGGAGCAAGTAGCTATAGCTATAGCTATGCTCGACAGCAAACTGGAATTCATCTACAGCGACACCAGGCCGGCCATCAAAGCCTTCGAACGTGGAGTCATCTCCGACCAGGCGTTACGTATCCTGCGCAAAGCGGACCCGAGTGCCCTGAAGCACCACACTGTCATCTGGTTCCCCGCCCATCTCGGCCAGGTGCCGGGTGCCCTATCCAACCTCAACGAGATCGCCCATGATGCAGCGCGCGCACTTGCCGACCGCACTGCCACAGGGCAACCTCATCTTGCTGGGTTAGATACCAATCGGGATGCACCAATTACGTACAATGAAATTACAAAGCACTTTTACCTGGAACGCCGCATTTTTGACCCCCCACATCCGAAACTTGACCGACCGCAGGCATTAACCCTACGCCTATTACAGACACACACGTACCCAAACCTTGCCACGCTTCACGTTTATTATCCCGATGCATACCCCGGCGACACATGCCCATCATTTGGACACACAGCGACACTCGCACACATGCTCTGGGAGTGTAGAACAACCACTCCCCTATTCTACCCTCAAGCAAGTGGGAGAGGTCCCTCAGGAGCTCACTTCTCGCCGACCAGCAATGGGCCGTCCAGCAGGCCCACGAAGCGGCCGCCAGGTACTCCCTGTCGGTCCCTACGTGGGAGACGCCTGCTACGCGCTAAGCGCGTCCTGCAGGACTGAAATAAAGTTTTTTCATTCCATTCTATTCCATTCCATTCCATCCCACAATAATCCCTGTCAACAGTCCCAGTACTACTTGGCATCACTTTCTATTACTTATCATTAATGCTGTTTTTAATAACAAAAACGAGCCCTTGATTTTTTATTTTCCCATCATTTCTAAAAAATAGAAAGCAGTGATTGTTAATATCTATCTATCTATCGCGGTACATCTAGAAGCACCCGAGGTGATCTCTTTCACTTGGTGTACAACGAAATCAGTACTGAAGGACGTCAGTGTACGAGGAGCGTGACTGACAAGTAACATGAGTAACGTATAAAAACACTACGGAGAACAACACATGGCTGTTGGATACGTCATGAAACTCTTCCCGCCCCCCGTCGCGTGTGGCGCTTAGATACATTCTGGCATAGCCCAGCCATGGGCGGCGGGTATTTGTTGCAGGTGATAGATAGATATGTGGGGTTTAACGTCCTAAAACCAAGATAAGATTATGAGAGACGCCGTAGTGGAGGGCTCCGGAAATTTTGTTCACCTGGGGTTCTTTAACGTGCACCCAAATCTGAGCACACGGGCCTACAACAATTCCGCCTCCATCGGAAATGCACCCGCCTGTAGCCGGGATTCGATCCCGTGACCTGCGGGTCAGCAGTCGAGTATCTTAGCCACTAGGCCACCACGGCGGGGCTTGTTGCAGGCGAAACACAAGAGCTGCGAAAGCAAACATTTAATTTTTAAAAGACGTTGTGGGACGTCTGAAAAAAAAAAAGGACATGTGATTCATTGCAGTTGGTGATTTGAATATAGAATGCAAATGTCGACAAACCTTATTCAATGAACCCTCATACAGCAACCATGCGGCACATATTGTAATGTGACTGTGATGTTGTCGAAGGTATTGCAGTCGGCGTGTTCCAGGCGAAACTCAAATTGGGGTGAACTTGCGCTCGAGAACCAGAAATTTAAACTTGAAGCAATACTGCTGCACGCTACAGCAGTCAACAAATCATCGGCCATTGATAATCTGATAATAGGCGGAGAGCGCCATATTTCATAAGACGGAAGGCAAACCTCACAGCGTTTTTACTGGTGCCTGCGCTATATATAGGCTGTGCAATGAAATTAACTGTTCCCGTCCTGCGCATTCTCTTAACACAATGATCCCATGCATTCGAGAAGCTTATCGAAATTTGTGACGTGGTTTACTTTATGCAGTTGTTATACGTGCTACAGACTGTTAACTAAGAATAACAAAACAAGCGATCATGATAATATTGTAATTGAACGTATTACATAAGCAGTTGGGGTAGCGGTTGCCTATCGTACACTGTGTTGGTAAAGCCTGTCTCCCGCCCCTTGTGTTTATAATGTTATGTATCTGTTGTCAACATAATGCAATAAATAGCCCCCACTTAGCCCTATGGCTCGTACAACTATGGCGAATAATTGTTCGTCTCCGTAGCAACATGGCAGCCAAAGCTTTTGAATATACTCACGTCAGCGAAGTGTAGCGTACACCCGGTTTTAATAACGCGAGCATATCTGTGATCGAACGTGAGGCCAACCGCTACCTTAGAGCCTAACCAAGGAAACTGTCTTTCGGGTGCCACAGTAATCGATGGCCATGGTAAGCCCACGTTGTGGACGCAAGTGATATGAGAAACTAGGATAATAGAAATATTTTGCGATATGACTTATGGAAAGCAAGCCACTGGTACTCCCTGTATATAAATGCTTTTTTTTTGACGTTCTCAAGACTTATAATAACACTTTCAGTAGCACTGTTTAGTGTTTAGATGGTGAAGTGGTATGATGACACATGTATCTATGGAAATTATAGTTGCTTTTTATTCGAACACTTTTTTACAATGTATGTACAGGACATTTGTCAAACACATTAAAGCATCACTTTTTTAATCGCTCTTTGAAAAGACATACTTGGAAGACAAAATATCGCACAAATGTCAATATTTATTACATGAATAAATTTGAAACGTTATCGCATATACAAAGGGTTCTACATATATGTCGAGTACGTGCACACACAAGTCCTAAAGCATGCACATATACATGGTACAATAGCATGAATGAGAAGAATAGAAATGCCTGTAGGCATCTTCTATTGTATGTTTTCAGAAGCATATTCAAAACATTATTTCATAAGGCTGGCTTTACTTTCACATTATAATGTCAAAGCGAAGGTAGGCTTCTTATTCTTAAGCGGATTTGCATGGACCAATTGGACTGAACATATACGTCACAAAAATTGGGTGGTGCTGTCGCCAAGAGTTTAAAGTGGCATTGTATATATATAGGCAAAAGAAGCCGTGCCTACTAATATTTCTACTTTGTTTTCGCTGCTGCGTGCACTGTCTGTCACCGTGCAAAAAGAAAAAAAAACTGTGTACTGACGAGCTGTCACAGTTATTTGCGTTGGAGGGCACAACAAAGATAGGCTCGGTCCTTTTTTTTTTAGTTTTCTGTTTATAAAAGCCATCGCAACAATATACTAGCCTTCGACACCGCTTCCCCGGTTCTTTTTTTGGAGCGCGTAACCCAGCAAAAACGACTAGCTCTGCCAAGCGTTTGTCATTTTAATGTGGCACACCGCATTTTTTAAATAAGCCTTGTGTGGAGGCGTATTGAGAATTTTCACCTCAAACCATGTTAACGCTGTGAATAGCACTGCCATATGTGATGATATGCGAAGAATGTTTCACAGTTGTCATTAACTGCAGAAGTCTTAGACGCGTCAAAATAACTTCATTATACTCGCGTGAACTAAATAGGTCACTCGGCAACGAAGCATGTGCTTATTTCTGCATGGACACAATTCATTAAAGGCTCCGCCGTGGTCTAGTGGCTAAGGTACTCGGCTGTTTACCCGCAAGGTCGCGGGATCAAATTCCTGGCTGTGGCGGCTGCATTTTCGATGGAGGCAAAAGTGCTGTAAACCCGTGTGCTCAGATTTGGGTGCTCGTTAAAGAAAGCCAGGTGGTCGAAGTTTCCGGATTCCCTCCACTATGGCATCTCTCATAATCAAATAGAAAGTTTTGGGGCGTTAAACCTTATATATCAGTCAACAATTCAACAAAGCAGCAGCTAACCACGGTATCGACTTGGACTCTGCATCTCATCTCTATACGTGGCTGCGATGACACACCTAACACAAGTGTGTCGGGCATTGTTGTTCTGGCTGTGGTGCACACCCTGTGAGAATTCACAGAAATAAATTATTGGGAAACTTGCAGAGTCTGTTTACGGTCCTGTACACATTATGCGACCTCCACTTGAGCGTACGAATAGAGCCATGGACCTGCGAGGCACGTAACTACATTATCCACAGCATGCAGTAGAAATATTTTGCAAGCGTATTGAAGGATGAATGTCACTGATGTCGCCCTTGTCGCCTGCATGAATAACTTCTCCCGCACATTTGTTATACGCAAGAATTTACCGTAGCAATTCGTGGGTATGAATTTTCACACCGCTCATTTGCATATTACTCAAGACCTTCTTGCGTTAGTGAACGAATTAAAACGTACAGGTGTGGCCTGACGTTGGCTGCCGCAACGGCGATGACATTTCGGAAATGTCATCACCATTACGATATCTCATGTTTTGATAATGTTCTCAAAGCTAGAGCTATACACGTCAACATGGCTCATATGTTCGTTGCAACTTTCTTGGTTGCGGCCGCAGGAAGACGTCCAGACGTTCCGGTTTCGGAGGCAGCTTTTGCATCTGCAGCGCCAGTAGTCACGTCATTATACGAGGGGGGCAGGGCGCTTTTGGCTGGGACGGCTGGGCGAAGCCTATACACGCGCTGCGAGGTCGCTACAACAAACCAACATATATCGACGGCGCATACCGTTGTTTAATGCAAATGCATATTTGTTAAAAAAAGGCACTTGAAGTTTTTCTATGTAAATGGCCCACAAAATATTTGCTGGCAGACATTGACAACTCGCTGTTGGCACCGCATCACTTCAAAGGTGTTTGCTCCTATCAACTGGTATATATGTTACAGCTTGAGCCATTCATTACGGCTAGTGTATCTGAGAAAACCTGTTGATGCTCGTGTACTCAGTAGTCAGCAGGACTGAGTTGGTATGTGCCTTAATACAGGTATATACACAAGTTCACACCAAAAGGCAGTCGCAGATGCTTAACTGCTCGGCTCACATCATGCGACATGAATACTTATTCGGGTTCCTGTCCACAAAGCAAAAATCACGTTAAGTAGGATGTATGATTAGTCGAAGACAAAAAAAAAACATTCCACACTCCACTTCCCGGGGGGAACTCAACACGAATGTTTGATAGGAAGCATTGCACCAATACTGCAGCGGTTTTATTTCCTCTTATCTTGCATAAATGTGCTAGCTCTCATGTGAGTTATGTGTCACCGATTTATGGCAAATTTGTTTAGTGTATTGCAAGGAACAGGTCTTTCACAAATATCTGATTGTACTCTATATACCGCAATACAACTCGCATGTAACATAAATTGGTGGAAAGCAGATTTAATCGCTGTAAGGTGTTGACCTAGAGAACGCGCTGGTTGGTTATACTAGACGTTAAAGAACAATTTTGAGCCAACTTTAAAACCTTTGAAGATGAGCGCTTGACAAAGATCACAAGCAAGCCTGCGCACTGAAGTTTGGTGAGAAAGCGCAGTGAAGGAAAATCTTTCAAAATGGTCGTGACTTCACCATGCTGAAGAATGGCTTACTTGATCATCTACCATTAAGTATAGCACTGGATGCTCCAGCCCCAGCACATTTTCCTCTCCATGCATCTGGAATGCGTTGAATCGGTGATGTTGGAGCTATAGTTATGTCACGTCGTGAAGTTAATGATGTTTTTTTTCAAGGCACCGCTATGTGAATACACTGCACCAGCAGGGCAGTGCTACTAAAGAGGATAGGATCCACGCCACTTTATCCTGAATATTGCTAGTGTTAGTCAAACACTACATCGTTTCTTCTTGCCCGAAAACAGCTGTTCTTGGAATTGAGCTTTTAAATAAGCTTTTTCATCATTTGTACTGCACGCCAGAACTTCAGTGGAACCACTTGATGTGAGATCTTTGGAAATAGCCAAGAAATTCGGCAGGAACATAGTGCTGTCAGTCACGCATGCCTTTCACGTCAATTGCGTATAATTCAATGCAGTCAATACTGTTTGCAACGTGATAGCGTCTGTTGCGTTTGGTGCTGGCGTAGTGGAGACTGTCGTTGCAGTGTGTCTAGCCCACTCAGGCAAAATTCCCAAACCGAAAATTGGGAATCCTATTGCGTGAATCATGCCCACTTCCACCACGACGCAGATCATGTTCATGAAGAAACCCGGTCTTGCCTGTGAAAGGAAAAGAAAAAGACAGATAAATAAATATTCGTGAAACGCTTTTACATTTCTTGCAATACACCACATGCATAAACCGGCGCGTAGAATCTGAACTTATTAGTGCCATAGGAATTACATGGACACTCTGGACGAGTTCTTGCCATCGCTGTCGCCGTTCAAATCGATTCTAAGGACGTAGTCGCTGGCTTGCGCGCTATTACCGCAGCCTTTCTGCGCGCACGGCTCGTATACCACAGTGCGCTTTCAACGCGAAGAATCGGTGCGAAACGGGCGGCCATATTCTCTTGCAGCTGCATTTTCTCGAGACATCGATGCGAAATAATTAGCTGCCAGTATTACTTCAAAAACACTACAGTTTATTGCTATTGAATTGACTGCTTCGTGCCTGCTATGAAACTTATTTTTTAAAGGGGGGGGGGATAGAAAGGTAGCAGAGCTCTCGCATATCAATTTCGCTAGTGACAGTCAACGCAATGATTTAAGCGAGGTTTAACAACCTAAGGATTTTACCTTTGCTCGATATCGCAAAGGGATATTGCAATAGTTGAAATGGTTTGAATGCGTCAAGGTAAATAAAAAAAGGTGACCGAATATTCTAAACTAGTACGCCTCAAGCATCTTCCGCAGAAGCCTGCGCACAATGGTGTGCGATAGCTTCTGCCGTAGGTTCAGGCGAGGGGGGGGGGGTTGCCCTTGCAAACCGGCGTCCCCCTCAAATGACAGGGAGTGAAAGACATGAATAGTGTCAATGCATGCATCAATAAAAATGAGGCGATAGCATACGTTTCACAACGGATGGGTTACTTTCGGCTCCCGGCCTAACGGAGGTGCCGCTGCGAAGTAAATTGCTTTTCATAGGCAACATAAGGTATACAGTATTGTCAAAAGCCATTGTAGTTCTAACCCGGTATCTTAAACATTCCCGGGATGGGCGCAACTGAGTTAACGTACGAGGCAGATTTAGCGTGACCTTTGGTAGATTATAGGGGAAGGAGGAACGACACCTAGCTAGCTACACCACCTCCTTGGTGCATGCCTGTGGTGTGTATCAGCAATAGGTTCTCAATACTTGTAAGAACGAATGACCTGAATAACCTGCTTCATTATTTGATAGCGGGAAGGCTCTCCTAGCCAATTCCAAATATTTGATTATTTTCCACCTGAATCTAGCCAGCAGGATAGCTGTGAAATCTTTCGTATGTGCTAATATGTATTCATGGCACTATAAATGGAAAACACCTTGAAGAAAAATGATTAGTTAGTGAAATAAACAGCACTGTTTCCGGCTTCTATAACCCAAATGTCTCGTTTTGCAAGCCCAAGAAATTCCACTACACACTGCGTTTTCTAGTGATATTGCGTAAACAGTCGCAAAGTGTTGTCCATTCCTCTCTCTCTTACTTCTTTTTTTTTCTTTTTTTGTTACTTGGTAGTTTACCGTGCGCTTCAATCTTTTGACTTCGGCTAAAGTATACTGTGCACGTTAACTAAAATGGAACGCGAGTTTCGGGAGCGAAGCTCCCTGTGCCATGGGTCATGCGTCCACGATGTATGTACTAATCGTAGTAGTAGGTAGCCACCTTCATGACCAGACTAAAGAAGCGGCATGCTCCTCCAGTGAGTAGGAAACCTGCTTCAAGTGAGGAGAAAACCTGCGCACGTTAATCATAAATAAAAAGAAAGTCATTTCTGAATGAATAGCTTATACCCCTGTCACACGGGCACTTAAATGTCTTTTAAGTAAGCGGTCTTTTTCCGAAAAGGAGTTCCTGACAGCAGACACACGGCACAGAGTGAACTCCTTTTCAGAAGCGGTCTTTTTCGTAAGCGGAGTTCGTCGATCTCTTTTACGGCTCCGAATGAGTAGCCTAGAAACCAGTGGGCGCCAGCAATTTTCGAGTGGTGGGAAAAAAAGAGCGAACGCGTATTTTTCTGTCGCCAAAACTCTTTGTAAAAACAAATTTCATATCCTGCAGAAGGTGTAATGAACTCTTTTAATGGTTATTTCCTTTTCTACTCTCGTAAGCAGCTACAACGCGTCGGCAATATCACGTGGTGACGCTCGGTCTCGTGCCGCGCCATTTTGCACAAGCGAGGAAAGCGTGTCAGTCGTGTGTTTGCCCGTCATTCATGTGGTCCGAGTCCGAGCGTCTATGGCCAACTCCGCAGATCAAGCAGCCGGCGCCCCACGGAAAAGGCAGCGTCTGCAATGGTCGGAAGCAGACACGTTATCTTCTCCTTGGCGGCTTTTGCAGTGTCTGCCTCGCTTTCCAGAGCGAGAAGGCAGGCCCTGAGGCTTGCGATCCTCGCTTTTTCTCCCGTACGGTCGCCCATAACGTGTCGAGAGCAGTCGAGAGCAGCGAAAAACAGATACGGTAAATAAAAGCCCAGTGGTGCCAGACGGACTTGTGCACGTCGCTAGTTATAGGAATGCTTCCTTAACTAGTGCAACAAACTTTCACAGTGGTGTTTCTTCATCTCTTATTCTTAAATTTATTTGAAGAAACGAGCAGTGCAACAAGTCTTTAATTTGTACATCGTGATTCAACGTTTAATTTTCATTGCTTCTCTTTTAACTGCTAGCGCCACGCTTTAGCTAGCGTCTTCGAACGAAAACACTAAAAGGAGATCGTTGCTGCCGTGTGTCTGCGCCGCAAACACCTCTTTGTTAAAAGTCTTTCAACTTCGTAAAAGACCGCTTACTTAAAAGACTTTTTGCACACCCGTGTGACACAGGTATTACAGATACTTGTATCGGTGACTTCATCTTCAATAAAACTTGCCTTGAAATTGATGCTTACTAAGAAAACTAGTATCAGAGGGACGCACATTTAGCACTATCTGACCAGAAAGGGTTGCCACATTAAACCAACACCACCTAGACTATTGACAAGGCCCCTCCAGGGAGAGCGTGACGTCACGCTAGTTGCCCACCTGCACCCCGGCCATCGTCACCACTCGTTCTCGTTATATCTGCTGTGGGCACTCATTGAAAGCCGGTGTTTCTTTTTTTGTTCTTTTTTTGTTCCTGCGCGGTCTGCATTTGTTTACGCCTGCCTTTACAGTTTAGTGATCAAACTGTAATAGTCAGAAATGCATTTGTAGAAGTGGTTTTATTAGGACGAAAGGCTAAAACCATCCTACCTCATTTCTTGTTCAAGGTTTTGATTTTTCTGTCAGCTGCCATTTATTGTGCGGTGCTTTGGATGGTGTCATTTCGAAGTCTACAAAAGTTGTTCAGAGCGACATTTGTTGCAACACGCACTACATGCCGCACGATAGTCTCAGAGGTATGGCCATTTTCACAAGTCTCTAGCTCAACATCTCCTAGCAGTGATGTGGTAATGGAGCTTACAATGCCACGTTGGTTGTTCGACGCGAGGAACGCCTTTGCATTTTCTCCCTTGGTGAGCTTTTCGACAACAAGTGTTGTCACCAGCACCATGTGCACAGTACATGGCTGCGGAAACTTTAAGCTTCCTCTTGACAAGTTGTCAATCATTGTGCTACCTTCCACATCTATGTTCCTGTTCTCCAGGACGAGCACGCTGCTGCAAAATGTACATGACAGCTTCTTCAGAGCTGAATAAACACAATATCCAGCGATATAAGCAACGACCTCCATGTCATGCTTTGGGTTGGAAATTTCATCATTTGAGATGTGAACAGAGAAGTTATGTTGCGATACTTCTGTGTCACTTTCGCTGCTGATGTCTGGCTGCGGAAGCATCAGCAGCTTTTGCAGATGAATTTTCTTTTCAGACTCCAGAAGCTGCCTCACGAAAACATGATATTGTGCACCAGCAAGCTGACTATAGCGACCGAAGCGATCTTCAAGAGTGTCAGTTTGAAATTTTCCCAGCAAGACATACTTGAACTTCAGTTCTTCTAAACAGCACCACGACAGCTCAACAAGGGAGTAGCAAGTGAGTCTCAACGCAGAATGTGTTTCCCTTATCAAGCAGCCACGGCTCATGTTGACGCTGCTCCAAGCATCCAGCCAGTCTACCATGCCACCAAGGAAAACCAGCTGTTGATCCACCGTAGAATTACTTGATTCTGAAGGGTGTCGTTCAATCGGTGACCTTTCGAAGGGGTCTTCACGTTGACGATTTTCTACCACGTCGATATGATGTTTATGAAGAGAGCTGTTGAACTGGCACATGTGGTTTCAGGGGCATCGCCACGCGTCTCAAGTGCGTTTGATACAAACTGATTAATGACATTTAACGCCAACTTTACATTTTGTCTCTCCATAGGTGTTGGATTGATTGCCTTGGAATTTAGCTTGTAGCCAAGCTTGAGAAGCGATGTCTGCTCCAGTGCATACAGCTGCCGTACGGCTTCAAATGATGCTGCTTTCATTCTGGGCGGCCCGTTGGGCAATATTCCTGACAGGCTCACTTCAGGAAAGTAAAAGCATATTCCTTCGTTTTTTTTTATTCATCCAGTTGTTCCTGATGCATTTCAGTATGTGCACAGGGTCTACGACATAAAACAGAGGCCGATTGTTGTTGACTGGATGAGGATATACAATGATTACTTCCTGTTTTTCTGAGAAAAACGACATCATTTTCTGGTTGAGAAAATTGTGTTCGGTAATTACAGCAATGACCCTGAGGCCGAAAGATTCCACTTCTAAAATTACTTTCTTGAAGAACTGTTGTAGAATTTCGGTGGCCATTTTAGCAACAGGAAGAATGTGAAGCACATCTTTGTTTGATGACAAGAGCGACTGAAGCATGAAAACTTGAGCGGTTGTGGCTGCCTCTTGAGAATTGGCTGCAGATCCAACTATGCTGCCCCCTTTATAATCGAAGTATGGCTTGATATGAATTTCATCAACCATTACCGTCACCGTCTTTTCGTGCGGCTGCATGCACTTCACTCTTTCTTGAATGTAGGAGAGGAAGATCGCTTCGTTTTGCTCCTTCAGTGGATCACCTCCATACTTGGAACAAACGCGGCGCAGGGTTGAAGGATGGGGTAAAGTCAACGTCGATGCTGATCTGGCAAAGTTATAGGGGTGCGGAGATATGGAGTGCAGGATGCTAGAAAACACCAATGTTTCAGCACTGTAGCGACGAATGGGGGCAGCGAGTGCGAGAGCTACTTGCTCATTTAGCAAACAAAACAAAGCACTGTGTTCTTCGGTCGTGTCACTGTCTTGGGACATTTCATTCAATAAGGAGCCGATATGCTGCAACACTGACGCTGTTTTCGACGGACTTGCAACTTCAGGCGTCTCAGTCATGTGGTTTTCCAGCTGCTGGAGCCGTGAGGACAACGTCCGGATGTCGCGCACTGCGTCTGGAACTGCGCCTCCGCAAGGTAATGAAACCAGCTTGATCATACCTGCTGAGACTGCAAGTGAGAGATCAGCAAGCACAGTGACGGAAAACCTCACGTGCGGTGAAGGATTATCTTCGATGCGGAGAAACATCACACAACGATCGTTGGCCTTGATGGTCCAGAAATCATTACTGCATACAGCAGAAAGCTTGCCTCTTAAGTGTTCGAAAGAGGACACAGTATTTCTCTCCTCTTCGCTTTTTTTGCGCATAAAGAGTTTTTAATCGCTTTGCTCAAGGCCTCGTCTTCCATTCGAGCTCGTTTCGAGACAGGAGATTCTCGACGATTGCGATTTGTGCTCAAGTAGGACGGACAGTTCGGAAACACCGATGGTATAGCATCTGACACTAGGCGCACCCTCTCATTGTCGACTGTCAATGTCCGTCCCGACGCTGCGTCGAAATGTGACAACTTTGTGATGAAGTCAGCCTCAAGGAAGTGGAGTTCACAGACCTGCGCCAAGCATAACAGTGACTTCATTACTTTCATATGAAACGGGCTAATGGGAACTTTGACACGAGCCTGAGTATTTCTGTTCTATTTTACCGCACTGCCCTACCTGAAGCGCGACAAAACTACCATCACCACTCACGATACTCGCTCCGTTCAACAGTAACAGAGCCAGAACGCCAGTAATGCGATAGAGCCGGTAAGACAACAAACTTCAGCAGTTTCTCACCTTTGAGTGTATGCTTGGGGTGAAATCCTTTCGCGGAAAGGCTTCTCCAAGACTTCTTCCGAGCTTCATCCTTGGGGAATGCGAAAACACGCACTTTGGAACCACTGTCGTAATCGCCGCGGCACCCGGGAACACAACAACGTCCCATGTCGCACTGATCGATGTGTAATCACATACTCACAAATACAACACCAATAAAATAGGACACGTGGGAACGGAAGACTCAGAGCAGTGCGATGCAGCACCAAGCCTAACCAGCGAAGCAGGTAGCGATGAAAGGCAAACCTGTCGTGGCTTGTCCGCCGTTCGGGGTAAAAAAGTGCGTGGGGTCACCAACACCACCACCTGAGCGACGCGTCCTCGGCCACTGGACAGTCGGTGATATGCCCGGTGAGGGGTTGAGGCTGCCACCCAGGATCCGGCGAAGGACGACTCTTGCGACGCGTCTCACGAACAAGTAGAAGATGCGTTTAATTTACATATATACAAGAGAAGAACATGGCAACGAGAGCGTACAGACGCGCCTTTCCATCACAAGGGCCCAGAGCGCACTCGAGACGAGCGGGCCAGCGAAGTCCAGAGAGAGAGCACAGCGCACTCCCGACACGCTCCTTTTATAGCCGTCCGTGCACGCTCTAGACGCCGACTGTGTGTCCCAGCGACGCTGATGTGCATTTCCTGCGGCGCACACAGACGCCTCCCGCGTTCCTGCAGGACGCGGACAGCGTTTGACCGTTACGCCGATGAGCGTCCCTTGCAAGCCACCTCCTTGCTGTACCGGTCATAACATCGGACAACTAGCATGACGTATGCCGTCTGGAGAGAGGGGTATGAACGGGCCTTGTCAATAGTCTAGGTGGTGTTGATTAAACTCGCTGGGCGTAATCGCCTTGGCTTTAGTGAGGTTTAGCGAGGATCTGGCCACAGTAGCATGAACTAGAGGCGTTGAAAGGTGGGAAGTAGACACGAAGCGCAGGCAGTAAGAAAGTGCGCGAGTGCCACCTCTCGTTCAGTCCTTGTAATGTTTGATGGATGGCGGTTCTTTTATATGATGAATATATGATGAAAAGATGCGACGTGGTGGTACTTGGAGTGTTCACTAGATGGACGGATGGACAGACAGGTGCACAAATTGATGCACGGATAAATTGATGGATGGATGGATGAACGCGCGGACGAACGCAGGAATGGATGCACAAACGGACGCACGGATGGATGGATGGAACCAAGAACGAATAGACGGACGTATGGACGCTTCGCCCCACTCATTATTATGCACTCCATGGATATGCTGTGATTTTCTTTCTCGCTTTTCAGAGTTTTACCACCCAAAGTCTACCATCGTGTTACAATCGAATAACGAAATTCTACTTTTTTTTTCTTCCTCGACAAAATGAAATGATGCCCCTCGCGTTACAATCAGAGTTATGTTATAATCGAAAACGCCCTCAGTCTTCAGTGTCGGAAAAAGTGAAATATATTGCGTTTTATTCAGGCCGGTATACTGATTATACGCGGATTAGCGACAGAAGACTCACCATGTCAGGGATTTTCAACTTCGCCAACTCATACACGATGGCGTTCGGAGGTGTCGCAGCAGGCAGCATGAATGAGAAGGAACAGCCGATCGTCACTGGCATCGCCAGGTAAAGTGGGTGCACGCCTATCGCTATCGCCTGCATTAAACAGAGCAAAAAAAGTGGTAGATCCTGCGTAATCAATGATATGCAAAGCATTAATGAGGAAGGGTGATAGGTTACTTTAAAATCAGCACAACTTTAGGAGGCGGAGGTAAATTATGCCGTACATGACTTCCATGTCATGATTATCATGTTTGAACGTTTCATTTTCCTTCGTAAGGCCAATTTTCGTAAGGTAAATTTGGTAAGGAAACTTGGACGTTTCATTTACCTTCGTATAGATAGATAGATAGATAGATAGATAGATAGATAGATAGATAGATAGATAGATAGATAGATAGATAGATAGATAGATAGATAGATAGATAGATAGATAGATAGATAGATAGATAGATAGACAGACAGACAGACAGACAGACAGACAGACAGACAGACAGACAGACAGACAGACAGACAGACAGACAGACAGATAGATAGATAGATAGATAGATAGATAGATAGATAGACAGACAGACAGACAGACAGACAGACAGACAGACAGACAGACAGACAGACAGACAGACAGACAGACAGACAGACAGACAGACAGACAGACAGATAGATAGATAGATAGATAGATAGATAGATAGATAGATAGATAGATAGATAGATAGATAGATAGATAGATAGATAGATAGATAGATAGATAGATAGATAGATAGATAGATATTCTCAAAGTAGCTGAAGTTCTCCAAGAAATGTTTCGCATTAAAAAAAAAAAAAAACTCTATGTAATAGAGCACTGGGATACTAGCCAGGGAGGACCCGTTGGGGCACAAGGCTATCCGCTGGATGCTCCCAGGACAGAATCGAGAGGTCATCCCACTTATGTTTTTGTGATTACTCTTTTCGAGCTAAGTTGAACACAATGAGTTGGATTCATACTAGTAGAGTATAAACAAGTGAGCAACAGAAAAGCATATAGAAAGGAAATATTGACGCCAAGAGAACTACCTGGCAGTCCCAACAACCAGAGATTTGAAGCACTGTCTAATAAGAGTGCGCATTATTTAAAGCCATTTATTCTATATTTTTTTCGAAGCAGGTATTCTGTAAATCTGTGACTCCTGTCCACAGCTCTCCTTTTACTGAGTGCGAATTGCTCTTCATTCTTTCTTTATTTTTTTGCTTAACACACTTGTAGTAACCTCCAGCTTTGAATTGCGTTGTACAGTGCATGCTTCACACAGCTTGCTAACCACTTTCCCATAGAACCATACTTAAAGCTGTAGAAATTGTCCCTACTTTTCTCTAAACGCCCACTTGCTAACCCAACGTAACCCATCTGTTTGTCCATTTATACTGTAGTTGACCACACAGTATTCTAAATTTGTTTCATTCATTTCAAAACAGACACTGACATATCTGTCTATTATTTTAGTCAAATGAATTTGCCGAAGCAATTTATCATGACTAGGCCGAATGCATGTTGTGTACTATCACATGAAGTAACTCGCGTTATTCTTGTTCTCTGTGGAATCGCCTAATTCAGCTTGTTTAATTAACTAACTTTTGAAGCAACAGAGCTGCCTGAGCAATTGCATAAAGCAAGTTTTATATTGGTTTCTAAAACGTCTTGTCGGGCACTTTCTAATTTTTTCTTTCTTAAGTATTGGTGTTTAGCTGCTCAGTACATTTTTTCGCGAAATAGAGAAAGAATTACCATGTGATGTGCCCGATCGCGCACCTATGTGCGCAGGTATTGCATTGCTTCCTAACGTTTCGCGTACAAATGACTATATAGCATTTAGCTGGGTGGGCTGGCTCGACAGGGCAGTGACGATGGTGGTGGTGGCTGCGCGTGATGCCCTTTTTTGCTAGCGGCAACACAAGTGACAAATGATGTGTCTGCTTATCACTCTCATGAACCACCACGTAGGAAGCATTTGAGGTAGCACTAAAACCTCGGTGCGTATTGGCGGGCATGTCACGTGACATTTTTTTGCACTTGGTGGGCAATTATAATAGGCAAAAAACACCGACACCAGATATAAAGTAAATGCTGTCTAATGAGACGTTCTGTAAATCAATTCAACTTCCCCACCCCAATTTTTCGCCTTCGTTCGTTACTTCAAATGTTAGTTAACTAAACATGCCTAATTCGGCAATAAGGCAAAATAAAAACAAAACTATTGCGATGTACTCCAGAATATAGTTACCAAGATGCATGTGGTCACGTCGTCATAGAGTGCTTCAGCATATTCTGAAACTCTGACTACGGTTCGCTGGGGCACCCTGTATATAGATCACTGTAAGGTATCCGTCCCGCCGGTCTGACGGAATGATTCTGATTGGAGTGCTCTGCTGGTGTGTGCTCGTGTGAATGTGTTTTTTTTGTCTTGTTTTATCTCTTTGTACGTGTTCAGTGGTTATGCTACATTTCTTCCTGAACATATAGAGTATCTCTCTTGGTATTCTCACCATTTCACAGACGACGGGCAAGAGTATGGTACTGACAGCCGTGTTACTCGTCACTTCAGTGAACATGGAGGCGGCAAAGCATAGGACGAACACCGTCAGCACATTAGGAAGGACGTCCAGACTCTTCAGGTGCTGCACCAGCATCGCCGACAGGCCTGATTGCTAGAACAAAAGAATCAAAGAGCGCTTGCAATGATACAACAATATGCAAACATTTGTAGTTGAACCTGTTCGAATGGTCCGGTTCAACAATCGGTTTGATTCGCTAAGCACTCCACATCATTTCAAATCATAGATAGATAGATAGATAGCTAGATAGATAGATAGATAGATAGATAGATAGATACATAGATAGATAGATAGATAGATAGATAGATAGCTAGATAGATAGATAGATAGATAGATAGATAGATAGATAGATAGATAGATAGATAGATAGATAGATACATAGATAGATAGATAGATAGATAGATAGATAGATAGATAGATAGATAGACAGACAGACGGACGGACGGACGGACGGACGGACGGACAGACAGACAGACAGACAGACAGACAGACAGACAGACAGACAGACAGACAGACAGACAGACAGACGGACGGACGGACGGACGGACGGACGGACGGACGGACGGACGGACGGACGGACAGACAGACAGACAGACAGACAGACAGACAGACAGACAGACAGACAGACAGACACGTACTCAAAGAAAAAATGTGCTGAAGATCATGAGGTTTGCGTGACGTTTTTTCTTTGCCCGTGCCATCCCTTCCTGCTTAGCTTCCAGCGCTTTCATCGGTACGAGAAAGAGAAGAATGCAAGTGAAGCGTGCCAAAAATCTTTCTAACTCCGTTCATACTGAACGGATTCTAAACATTTCTGTGGTGGTGAATTCGTGAGGCAATATGCTTCTAAGTTAATCCATTTCATAGCCACCTAATACAGTGTTGCAGGGCCCATTTAACTGTAGGGTGTCGATGCACTGACGGCGTACATTTTTTTTTTGCCAATCAGCTTCCGGCCAAGACAAAAGCGTCTTTTAACAAGTTAATGAAATGCGGTACGCAGACACCTTATGGTATCTTTTCTCGGTCGTTGAACTTTTGATCAGTGAATGCACCCCAATAAGAGACCGTTTTACGAGAGCGTTTAGCTACGGGCCGCCTGGCATTAGCTCGTTCAAGCCTTGCAGCACCACCTTCGCTTCTGTGCCTCCTGCACTGCCAAGGAACTCGTTGGTTAGCTGCTTGCTGCCGACTTCCTTACGGAGTCGCCTACCATCCAAGAGCGTTGGGATATAGCGTGACACTACTGTAGCGCTGCGACAGTTCATTGGGGAGGAACGTGGCCAGTCCACTTACAGTGTGCTGCGCACAGCCTGTGGTCAGGTAAGGAACATGGCTGCGATGTTCGCCACTGGCTTCCCTACCGTGTTTGCCTCGTGGGAAATCAGGCTTCCGACGATCTGGTGGAGCAGACGCATTCTTAAACGACCTCATTGATACCATACGCCGACTCTTTCGATTTGAACGCGCAGTAATTTTTGTTAAGGATTGCAGCGCAGCAACCCAAACAAGCGTATCACCGATTACGACCCCTTGCTCATCTGCACATGACAGGTTTTTCCTGGTCAGAGTGCGTCCTCTGCTTTTCCCTGTGGACTGGCTCGGCATAGATGGGGCAACGAAAACAGTGCGTGCGGAGAGTCCCTTGGTCAACTTGCATTACCTGCGGCGCAGTTGAAACTCTTTTTTTCACCTGCTGTGCGAGAGCCCAGTATCTGCCTGCTAAAGGAAGCAACTAGCCACCTGCTACTGTCTTCTAGGCCTGCATTGCAAAACCCTCAAGGATAATCTTTTCCCACCGGTGGCTGTGGTCATCAGCGCAATACTCTAACCACCCTCGCTCGCTGGATTTCGTGCCCCCGGATTGTGCCCTCGTGATCTCCGACGACAGCGTCGCCCTGGTCGACTAGGCCGGCCCTACGCCATCTCCTGACGCCGGTCTTCGACGACAGCACAGCTCTGGCCGACTGAGCTCACCCTACGCCATCTCCTGACGAGTACAAGACCTCTCGCTAGTGGTGGCACGTCCTCGGACTCCTACGACCATTTCTATCTTTCCTATCTTCTTCTTACTTCCGTCGTTCGCTGTCCCTGCACTTCACTCTCACCTTACTCTCTCTCTATCTATTTACCTGTTCATCCTATCCTTTTAATCCCTCCTTTAGCCCCCCCTCTCACCCCGTGAGCTACCGTTGAGGTGTCCTCCCCCTGAGAGACAGTTACGAGGCTCACTTGTCTCTTTAATTCATTTGAAATCACTTCCATCCTTCTCTCGTTCACCGACGCTTCCTTTTTCGGCAAGTGGCTATAAAATCCGCAAACCGCGTATACTAACGTGCCCCCCCTCTTCCGAAAGCCCTCCTGTTGGGCCTCTCCTTCTCTATGTCTCCTCTTTCTACCCTTTACCATCTGTGAACTGGTGGAGGTGTCCTCTTCGAGAGACAGTCACCGTGCTCACGAAACCACCCTTCCTACTTCTTAACACAATCACCTATTATATATATACCCCAATAACACAAAAGCTAAAAGCTTTTTTTCAGAATTGCCGTGGGGTTGTCAAATCTAGTTGTTGCCTCACAGTCTGCGCACTGTTAGTGAAACACCTTCCGTTCGGGGGATGCACTTTCACTAAAAGGGAAGTGCTCTTTTGTATTGCCTTTCCATATTTACGTACCGTATTTGCGTGACTTGCTCAAGCTTGCCAAGTTCTGTATCAGAACTTTAAAGTGCGTTACTTGGTGGCATAATGCGCTGCCATGACACCGAAATAATGGTTTCCAGTAAGTCTCTGATACAGTGCAAAGGCGTGGCTCAGTGAAAGCTGTCATACCTTGCAGCCCTCGGCGAGGCACATGCCACCTCCGACGAGAATCATGACTCCCCACTGAGCCCGCTCACTGGCTTCCCTGCCACGTGATAAGGCCTCGGCCACCGGGCTTGCGAGGGTCCTTGGGAATCACAAAGAGCAGGAACATCGCCAGCATGGCGGGTGCAGGATGGCTTGATGAATCTGCACAAAAGTGAGTTCATGACAAAGTCCTTCGCTTTGACGGACGCCGCGCAAACAAACACAACACTCATGGTCTCCGATATGCTGCTTTAAATGCTTTCAAAGTGTGGTTGCTGAAATGAGCAAGTGTGGTTGGGGAAGACCTTAGTAGTATCTTATGCGATAATGTAGTAATATTGAAGTGCTGTGGATCGAGCAGGGCCGCGCGCTCGTCCCGCTGCATCATCATTCGTGTACATGGTTGAGTGCCGACAATGAACATCGCAAATGTATAGTAAAGAAATCATAGGATCCGATATTCCAGTGCCCGTGGAAAGAATGTTCTAGCATTTTGATAAACTGGCCCACGTCTAAAAATAGAAAGAAGCTACAGTGAGTATTACATCTGGGCTGATTCTATGTTTTGCTTTGTATAGCTGTTCGTATAGCCTTGTGTTCAATTTATTGCAAAGTTAATGCTGATTTGCCTGTTTTTTTATCTTATTATCCACCACTGAATACTAACTCCACGAGCACCAGAACTCAAAACTGAAATGGAATAAGAATGTTATAAAGATTACTCTCCCTTTCTATGAATCGCACTGCGTCTAGGGCCAGAATCTCAGCTTCAATGAACATCGGACTTTGTATAGCAACAATCATTAGGACATCGCTTTACAAACGAAGTAAGCTCCGGTTGGCACACAAAGCGAGATGCGATCGCGCAATGCGTGCCCTTACTTATGATGAGGAATCGCTTCGACCCAGCCAGGAAACATCTGGGGCTTCATCGTGAACCAGAGAAGAATCGTTGTAGACATTAGGAACATGACGCACCACTCGGAAAAACTGCAATAAAATAAGGGAGAGAAGTTGCATGACGACGAAAGTAGAGAAGGATAACGCCATTCAGTTGGTAAGCAGTATTTATCATTTTGAAAAACACACACAGCCTCTGGTTGACGTGAGGAATGTAACTTAGAACAGTGCGAACATTATCGGGGTAAGCAGAATAAGTGGATAGAGGAAACCAAGAAGAAAACGAGGCGTTAACGCTGATTTATAACAAAAGATTAGTGAACAATATTAGTTTTTCATACGAAGAAGCAATTTTACTTCACATATGTGCACGCATGAACGCAAAGGTGTTTATTCTGCCCACATAAGGCCTCAAATCGTCTTATAAATTGAAGCAAAGCAGTGCATGCAATGAAATTTGCTACATCAATGGTCCCAACTATACGTTACAGTATGTTATGTCTCCACTTAGCAGCGAGACACACGCGCACCCATGCACGCACGCATGCACAAACACACACACAACCTTTTTGTGCGTACACGTGCACAAATACAATGCACACGGACACTCAAAGACAATGCGATACAAGTAACCAGTAGTGTGAGCAACATCAGTACTTGCCTCATAGGACCAAGGTCCCGGTACCTCCCCGCAATTTCCTCGCGAACTTTCTCTGCCGCTGCATCTGACGAGGGGCTCCTCCTGCAGCACATTTTCGTTTCACTAATTCAGAGGGCACGACAGTGAATCTCGATTGGTATAAATAATGTTCGCTGCGCAAGTGAAAAAATAGTTGGTACAGCTTGCCAGCATTAACCAACATAGGTAAAACAAGCCTGGGAATATTACAAAGGAATTTCAAGCGGTGTTGTTTCACCGCTTGAAATTGTTGTCACGTGTGTTCGCATTAACCACAAAGATATCGTTGTTTGTGGCTGCTACCGGCCTCCTAGCCTTACTACCGGTTTCGCAAATGAATTACACGATGTACTAAATAAGTTGCAAGTAAGGTTTCCGGCTGCGCCCTTGTTTCTCCTAGGTGACTTTAACTTCCCTAATGTTTCGTGGTCTCCCCCTTTGCCAATAATTTCATCAACTTCTGCTGACAGTGCTGCCTTTCTTTATGTGTGTTCAGACTTTAACCTTACCCAGCTGGTTAACGCTCCAACCCGCATTACCTCATCCACCTCCTCAGTTCTAGGCTTGGTGCTGACCACGCATCCCGACCTAATTAAATCCCTATCAGTTATTCCGGGCATAAGCGACCATCTAGCTATTCATTTTAACATGACTAAAACAACTAAAAGAAATGATAGCTCAAAAGTTTTTAGGGACTACAAAAGAGCCGACTATGTTTCAATTAATAATGAGCTTCAGCTTTTCCTAAACGATTACCTTTCGCAATTCTGGAAAGGTCCGTGCAACAAAAACTGGAATTTGTTTAAGCAGAAGGTAGCAGAACTTACCAATCGTTTATTCCGCTCCGCAGAATTAGGCAAAGCGCAAAAGTCCCCTTGGTTCACGCTACACTAAAACGACTACTGAATAAAAGAAACGAATTTTTCGAAGGGCAAAGCTAAACTAACAACGCGGAAAGGTGGTCCGCTTATCATCACGCAGCTGACGAGTACACTCGCGCATTATCCGTCGCAAAAGAAAATTATTATCAACAAACGCTTCCCTCTCTGCTTGCAGCTAACCCTCAGAAATTTTGGCAGATGATTAGGGGAAATGAAAAAAAGGCGATAGAATTAATCCATGATGATAACAGCCGTGTACCAAAAGAAGAGTGTTGTGTCATTTTAAGCTCTGTGTTTTCATCGTGCTTTGTTAAACCTACAGCGCTTTCCTTTCCCGATACCCCCACCCACAACTTTGTTGCCATGGAACCCCTTTTATTTGACTGTGGCGGCATACAAAAATTGATAGAAAACTTGAAATTAGCCAGTGCTCCAGGTGAAGACGGTATCTGTGCAAAGTTTTTGCATAATACCTCTGTTTACTCATCTGTCATTTTATGTAAGCTTTTCACACAGTCTTTGGAATATCATTGCCTCCCGGGCGACTGGGAAGCGGGAAAGGTGGTTCCTCTTCACAAATCAGGTGACGTTCATAACCCCCGCAATTACAGGCCCATATCGTTAACAAGTATACCGTGTAAGCTCATGGAACACGTCATCTACTCCCACATAATCACTTTCTTAGAAAACAACTCGTTCCTTAGTGATAACCAGCATGGATTCCGGAAACAGTACTCATGCGAGACCCAACTTCTCTGCCTTACTAATGACCTTTTTCTTGCCATTGACGCTTCTTCCCTTGTTGACTGTATTTTTCTCGACTTTGCTAAAGCTTTTGACACTGTATGCCATAAACTTCTACTGCTAAAACTAAGCAAACTTAATCTTGATGCTAACATATTAAAATGGATTGAATGCTTTTTAATAGACCGCTCCCAATTTGTAACTGCGAATGAATGCAACTCTCCCCTCTCACCCGTAACCTCTGGCGTCCCCCAAGGATCCGTTCTTGGCCCACTACTCTTCCGGATTTACATTAACGATTTGCCACATAACATCTCTTCTTCTATTAAACTTTTCGCCGATGACTGTGTTATTTACCGCGAAATTAAACCCCTTCTGACCACCTTGCCCTTCAGTGTGACTTAGACAATGTTTCATCAAGGTGCGATACTTGGCTAATGAAGCTTAATGTTACTAAATGCAAAGTAATGAGAGTCTCACGTCGAACATGTAATATTCTACTAACTATGTACTTAATAATTCTCTCCTTACTAAAGTTAGCTCATACAGTACCTTGGCATTACAATTTCTGACAACCTTTCCTGGCAGTCTCACATTGACATTATTAAAAACAATGCTAACCGCACACTTGGTTATTTACGCCGTAACTTCTCCCTTGCCCCGATGCAACTGAAACTTCTGCTCTATAAAACATTAGTCCGACCAAAGCTAGAATATTCATCTTCTGTATGGGATCCCCACGTAAACATCCATATCAGTAGCATCGAAGCAATTCAAAATCGCGCCGCTCGTTTCATTTTGTCGAACTATTCCCGTACAGCAAGCGTAACCCATATGAAGTCAACCTTAAATCTACCCAGCCTATCATTTCGCCGCAAAATCTCGCGCTTGTGCCTCTTCCACAAGTTGTACCATACCATGCACTCACTGAGTAACTCGCTTTTTTTGCCGCCATCCTACATTTCATCCCGCAGCGATCACCACTTCAAAGTTGGAATTCCAAGCAGCCGTTCAAACCTCCATTTTAATTCATTCGTGCCCAAAACAAGCACGGACTGGAATCACCTTCCCGCTTCCATGGCATCCATCACTGACCCGACCAACTTCAAGAATACCATAAACGCATACCCTTTTTAAACATGCTCCATTTGTTTGTACAGTTTGTTTGTTTTTTTTTCACCACTCCTCTCTGTAACGCCTTGTGCGGTAAACACAGATGAAAAAGCAGTATTGAATAGCTCAGCGCTCTCAAAATTACCAATATCGTCGCCCACTTCACTTTTCAGTGTAATGCTGCGCGTTTCCTGTGAATTAATAAATTTCCAAAACTTTCTGGGGTTAATAGTAAGTATTTTGGGTAAATCTGTGTGAAAAAAACGAGTGCCTGGCGCTGCGTAAGGCGAGCAAGTATGTTTTTTCAGCCGCATAGTATTTTTCCCAATTGTGAGCACTGTGTTTTAGCTTGGCAGCGCGAAATAACCGTTTTTTTATTTTCTAGTTTTTCAAGGTTTTTGAGAACTATTGTTTCTGGAGAGACGTACGAAATGTAGTTGTAGCTATGAACTTTCTTGCTAGCTCCCCTATTTTGTTTTTGAAGATTGTCCAGTTGTCTTCGACTGTTCTGCTTGAAAGGCGAGCTTCAAAGTCTTGTAAAAAGCCTTGAAGTTCGTTGTTGATTGCCTCGTAATACCCTTTATCATATAGACTGATAGTCTTGGACTGAATCAGGCTGGGCGAGTGACTGAAATTGAAGACTGAGTGTATAACCTTATGGTCGCTGATTTCGCGCAAATATGTAAGCGAAGATAGCGTTTCGGGATGTGTTGTTAATATCAAGTCCAATATGTTCGCTGAGCCATTTGTCACGCGGGTTGGCTCCAACACCAGCTGCGTGAGGTTGAAGTTTAGGCAGACATTGACGAATTCTTTTGCTTCCGCGCTTGTTCCTGGCAAAGCCGCCTGATTTCGCCAATCGATGTCGGGATAGTTAAAGTCGCCGAAAATTAGAACGCGCGCGTTGGGGTGTTTCAAAATGAGATGATTCAATATGTGATTAAATTTCTGCGGAAAGTCTGGGTTGCTTTGCGGGGGCCAATAGCACACTCCAAGTAGCAATGTTAGTGGTGTAGAACGAATGAGAAGCCATATGATTTCTAAGTCAGTCGCAATGTCGATGACTGATCACAAACGTAGCTTACTAGTGGCGATCAGAAAACCTCCCCAACGGCCGCCCTTACGATCGTTACGAAAAACGTTGAAGTTCGGAAGATCGGTCAGGATTTCGTCGTCTGTGACGTCACCAGAAAGCCACGTTTCGGAGAGCACGACTATATTGCTGCTAGATGACGAGACAAGACTACATAAGTATTAGTATTTCATACGAAGAAACAATTTTACTGCACATATGTGCACGCATGCACGCACGCAAAGGTGTTTATTCTGCCCACATAACACCTCAATTTGTCTTATAAATTGAAGCAAAGCATTGCATGCAATAAATTTGCTACATCAATGGTCCCATATTCGTTACAGTATGTTATGTCTCCGCTTAGCAGCGAGACAAACGCGCACCCATGCACGCACGCATGCCCAAACACACACACACACAACCTTTTTGTGCGTACACGTGCACAAATACAATGCACACGGACACTCAAAGACAATGCGATACAAGTAACCAGTAGTGTGAGCAACATCAGTACTTGCCTCATAGGACCAAGGTCCCGGTACCTCCCCGCAATTTCCTCGCGAACTTTTTCTGCCGCCGCATCTGACGAGGGGCTCCTCCTGCAGCACATTTTCGTTTCACTAACTTATAGAGGGCACAACAGTGAATCTCGAGTGGTATAAATAATATTCGCTTCACAAGTAAAAAAAATAGCTGGTACAGCTTGCCAGCATTAACCAACATAGGTAAAACAAGCCTGGGAATATTACAAAGTGTTCTAGCCCACGCGCTCTGAATTCGCTGGGCCTGTGTTAGCGCATTGACGGTGGCTTCCATAGTGATTACGGGAGACCACCTCATCAAGACGCACAATGACGTTCTAACACTCAGGACGCATATTAGACATTGTGCTAAGACTCCCCATAACCAACTAGCCTCTTTACCTGCCGACAGACCACGAAACTCTTTTTGCCAAATGATCGCAGCGTATTACGAGTGTTTGCCAACACGTTTCTCGCCCGCCATGACAATTTCAATTCCTCCGGGGTTCCTGAATCTCACTAGCATCAGCCTGACGATACCTGGCATCCGTAAAAAAAAAGCCGCAATTCCACAAAGTGATTGATGATGAGTGGGCGAAGCTCCGGAGGTAAACCTGGTAAACCATGAACGCTCCCTACATTTTGCCCAATCAATTTTATTACAACGCTCCCCCTAGCGTACGTCGCCGCACTAAATCAAACGATTGCCTTTCACCAATGACACGAGCC